AATCTGATAATCTGGTCATACGTACGCAGAGTGGCCCAAAGGCTAATCACCCTAGTACACGACCCAACGCCTATGTGTGTACGAGAGTGGGTCCCAAAGACCTCAGATAATCTGGTCATACACTATGAAAACACATTCACGATAGTGCAGAGCGGGTAAAATCACTATAACTAGTCATACACTGTGTAAACACATTCACATCAGTGCAAACTGGGATAAAATCACCTGGGTACTTTCTGGTGGTTTTTAGAAATAACTTTAACTATACTGAAACATGTAATAAAAATATAACATGCTACTAAAATAATTTAACTGAACTGAATTTAACTTTAAAAGAAATTGATAATAAAATCCATTTTATTCTGAAAATCATGCTATGAAATCAACTTTATAAAATAAATAACTTTAAAATTTAAAGAAAACTTATTTCTGAAAAATAAGTTTTATCCACTCACAAGGTATAAGCTACAAGCTAGATTGGCTGATAAACGTTTCCAATTTTCTCGCCACCACCTGAAATACGATGTTAATAACCAATTTATCCTCTATCTAATTAAGAAATCTTAATATCTAATGATAGAATTTAAAATTAAATTTTCTGGACACTTGAATAAGTTCTCAAATTTTCCTTTATTAATTGGAGCTAATCACACTTTATAATCCATTGACTAATAACTAATTTATCAACATAACCTTCACTTCCAAACATCAATGTGACAATCCACATCATTCAAGTGACAAGAAGTTGCTATAATTCAACTAATTAAATTTTTCCTCTTGTTCCATAATTTCATGCTTCCAAATAATTATTTTTTCAACATCATCATTTCCATGAACATACTTAATCTCAAAAATTCCAAATTAAATTTCTAGGGTTTGCTAAAATAATATCCCTTACCTAGCTAAAATTGGAAATGAAGAAATCCCCAAACTTGAGCTCCAATTCATACAAATATCACCTAAAATTCGACATTTTATTCTCCAAGTTAAAACCCTAAAAATTTAATATAAATCATACTTAATCACTCGAAAACAAAGTGGAAAAATTAAACCCAACTTGAAGAGATTAACCTTACCTCTTTTCTTCTTTTTTTTCCTTTCTTCTTTTCCTTTTCTTTTCTTTTTCCTTTCCTCATTCCTTTTTTCTCCCTTCACTGCCGGACTCTGCTTCTCTCGTTACTCTGTGTGTGTGTGTTTTGGTGTGAAATTGAGAGAGAATGGGTCAAATGGTTGAACTAAATGGTCCACTAACCCATAATTGCAAACTAAGTCCTTCAACTCCCTTTTTCATATTACATTTAATCCTAATACTTCCAAAATTATATAAGTAAGTTTCTAACTTAAAAATGTATCCAATTTAACCTTCAAAATATATTTATAATTTATAAGATAAACCTAAATAAAATATTTAATTTCATTTTAGCCCCTAATTGACTTGACTTTGAAAATTCCACTGTTGACTTTGACTAAATGAAAATGTGGGTTGTAACAATTGCAGCCACAAAAAAGAAAAGAAAAAAGATCAGTAATCATGTTCATTTCACCTAGTAAATGGCTGATCATATTGTTCTTTCCTCCCATTATAATATCCTATTGCAGCCACAAAAAAGAAAAGAAAAAATGATCAGTAATCTGTAATCATGTTCATTTCACTTCCTCCCATTATAATCCTATTGCGGCCACAAAAATGAAAAGAAAAAAGATCAGTAATCATGTTCATTCCACCTTGTAAATGGCTGATCATAAGTAAAACTGGCTTCAGATAACAATCAAAAATGTAATTACCAAATTCAGCGAATGATAATCAACAAGCTTAAGAAAGTCTAAACAAAGGTACACATTACAATAAGTAAAATATAACCCAATTCAAAATCAGATTCCACTAAAATCATCACATTCAATACCCAGCCTATTTCCAGAAATGTAAAAATAAGCCATGCCAAGCCAACCAATTTAGAAATAAAATGTCTTGAAAATAAACTTCGCACGTTTTAATACGCTCGAACCCAAAAAAATAAAATAAATAAAAATAAAAATAAATAAATATATATATATATATATATATATATATCTTCACATTTCTTGGGGATTTAGGGTTTGAGAGAGGAATGTTTCATTATGCTGATATGGACTTGATTTGGTAGAACATTTAACAATTGTAAGGATTTAACGGCCAACTCAGTTTTTCGTCTACTCGTCAACTAACAAATCTGGTCGATGGTTAATGGGCACTAACGGATTAGAGTTCAGTCGCCAGTGGGAAAAGTTTGAAAGTTCTGTGGGTTAGTCGTGATGTATCCCAAAGTTCAGTGGCCAATGAAACATTTAACTCCACATTAAATAAAGAATATATTTTTTAAAATCTATTTTAGATATTCAAAGTTCTCTCTAAATTTCATTTGTAACGTGCATTAAAAATTGTCATTTGCCTCATCTATCAAGCGACTCAGTTCAAGACTTCTAAAAAATCACACTTCTAATTGGTTATTAACATTTTTAATAAGTTTCGACTTCCATAAGAGGGGTGGACAAAATGTCCAAACCAAACCAAACCAAACAAACGGAGCGGTTCGGCCAGAAATGTAAAAATAAGCCATGCCAAGCCAACCAATTTAGAAATAAAATGTCTTGAAAATAAACTTCGCACGTTTTAATACGCTCGAACCCAAAAAAATAAAATAAATAAAAATAAAAATAAATAAATATATATATATATATATATATATATATATCTTCACATTTCTTGGGGATTTAGGGTTTGAGAGAGGAATGTTTCATTATGCTGATATGGACTTGATTTGGTAGAACATTTAACAATTGTAAGGATTTAACGGCCAACTCAGTTTTTCGTCTACTCGTCAACTAACAAATCTGGTCGATGGTTAATGGGCACTAACGGATTAGAGTTCAGTCGCCAGTGGGAAAAGTTTGAAAGTTCTGTGGGTTAGTCGTGATGTATCCCAAAGTTCAGTGGCCAATGAAACATTTAACTCCACATTAAATAAAGAATATATTTTTTAAAATCTATTTTAGATATTCAAAGTTCTCTCTAAATTTCATTTGTAACGTGCATTAAAAATTGTCATTTGCCTCATCTATCAAGCGACTCAGTTCAAGACTTCTAAAAAATCACACTTCTAATTGGTTATTAACATTTTTAATAAGTTTCGACTTCCATAAGAGGGGTGGACAAAATGTCCAAACCAAACCAAACCAAACAAACGGAGCGGTTCGGTTTGGTTCTATGAAAAAAATTAATGGTTTTGGTTCTTCGAACCAAAAACCATTTGGCTTCGGTTCCGGTTCGGTTCTGATGCTAGAACCAAGAATCAAACATAATTTAATGAATCTAATTTTATATTAATGGAAGTCAGTCCAATAGCCATTATTGTTACAGCACACTAAAACTGTTTAGCTCATTAATTTTTGGGAAAATGTCACCACACACTACTTATTTTAAAATAATTCACTTATTACATTTCAATTGGTTTTTCACCAAAAATACTTCAAATTAATATAGTATATTTGAAATTTTGGATATACGTTTATTTACATATATAATATATATTAGCCTAATTTATGTGAAACAAGCCCCAATCTACTCCTCATAATCCAACCCGCCCAATTTACGCCCCAAAACCTTGAAATCCGCCTCATCTTACTTGAACAGACGTAAGAAAATCAAAGAAAATCTTGCCATCTCTGATGGAGAAGCTGAAGCCCGATAACCCATGGATACCGTCTAGATCCTGGGATTCCGTTCCTTCTCAAACTGGCGTGTCCTCTCACTCTCCCTCCTCATTTTATTTATCTTACTTCCACTGTCTCCGAGTCCAGTTTGATGAGGTTGGTGATGAATGCTCTACAGGGTGTAGAATCTGTTTTAATAACTATTGAGAAATCTCTGCAGCACTTTGTTACATTTTCAGCAGACGGAACTTCTCATCAAATTTCAAGCACAAACTTAACCATTTTGGAATGTATGTTACAGCATTGTGTACAATCAAAATTTTCCCAAGTATCATGGTGCAGATCTCTGCTCTCCCTTAAGCACAAAGGTTTGAAGATTGCATTTTTTTGCTGTAGGACGGTGGTTCATGCACTGTTTCCTGGAGCTAGATTTGAAGATTACATTTGTTGTAGAAGATTGATTTTGCCCCCACCCAAAGATCTTCCACTTTGACAAAACACCATATTAAATAATCCAATTAATTTGTGAGATTTGTTATTATTAAATTGTGAGAATTTGTTGTTTTATTGTTGGAAGCAGATTTGCTGTAAGAATCCCCCGCAAAATGCATTGCTCAGAATGATGAAATAATGTTGAATGTGAGAAATTGTTATTGTAATAATCCCCTACAAATTGCATAGCTCCAAATGATGAAATAATGTTGAATGTGAGAAATTGTTATTGCTGTGCAAAAGTTTACAATAAAAGGGATTGTTTTCTTATATACAATCTGGAAGGAAATGCATTTTTTTTTTCTTGAGCAAAGCTTTACAAAAAGCACTGTCATATATTCATGGTTTTAGCTTTCCATTAGTTGGTGAATGAGTAATTCTTAAAACTGAACTGAGATTGAAAGCTGAAGTAATTGACGGATATACTAATTTGCATGCTGCTGGCTTTGGTTGCCTTGTACTGATGCTAATGTATGTGACTCTTCCTTTACTTGATCATCAGATTATTGATTTCACAATGTTTCAGGAATTAATTCTGTAGATCACTCCAAGCAGAAAATTTTGTAGATCACTTTTTTTTTTCCCAATACCAACAAGAAAAAATATCTTACTACTGAACTGGCAAGAGTAAAACATAGTACCCAAAGGTTATGCTAGAGATCATGTCATATAATCATATGAAACTGAATGATTTTCTTCCTTCTAAACCGTACAGAAAAAACTTCAAGAAATTGCAAAGATTGAAACTAAAATTATCTAAGCAAAATGACAAACAATATGAGAAACTTGGCTTCAAAGAGAATTTTCTGTACTCAGTTTCCAAAGTAGAGAAGCATAAATTCGTAAAATCTCATTTCTTCTTGCCAGCCTTAGCAGCATCTCCAGCTTTAGTCTTCTTCACACCACGTATCTTCTTTGCTCTGTTCTTTCTCTCCTTCAGTTGCTTCCTGGACTTCCCTACCTTGGTATCAAGACCATTCCTACTGAGCATGTATTTTGGCTCGTATTTCTTCGCATTTTGAATAGAATCATAGATCAAGCCAAAACCACTTGATTTGCCTCCACCAAAGTGGGTTCTGAACTTGAACACAAATATTGCATTTGGATCTTTCACTGCATACATCCTTGCCAATTTCTGTTTCAACTCAGCCTTAGAAACATTGGCCCGTCCTGGATGTAACACATCTCCTGATACTGTGAAGATATATAGGAGACCCAATATTGCTTGAATAAGGGCAAGCTTACATTTCTAGTATTATGCACAAAGTGGCCTTTAAATCTTGTGAATGTGCATTTTTATGCTCAATGTAACATTACACGTCCTAGGTAGTTGCTTCTAGTGTCACGATTGTTATATATTTATGGTATAAATATAAAATGTGAAAGAAATAATCAAATTAGATAAAGTGCCAAAGTGATGGGAAATGTGGCATCTGTGTGGGATATCAGGGATTCGAGTCACTCCTCACGCAGTTATTAAAATGTCTTGATTGGGGCTTCAGGCTCTTGGGCTTCTTCCTTGACTAAAATAAATGATTTTTTAATTATTATTTAATGGGTAAAACTAGCTAATATTTTCTGACTGTTTGTTTTTGTAACAACCCACTAATAGTCATTAAAATATCCACTACCCAGTCATTAAGATTCTGAATTAATCTCTGATCATGGTGGAAACTGTTACTTCCATCCTGCCTATATAAATCCATATCTCGTTTTGGAAAAAATACACAAAAAGAAAATAGAAAAATCCTCTTGTATCAATCCTTCTTTTTCATATTCTGATTTTCTTATGCTCCTGTTTTTACATATATTTTGGAGTACAATTAAAAGTTCTGGCAAAACCATTCGTGATTGCTGCACAAGTGGTTTACGATCGTTGTATCCTGGGAGTGATTGTCGATGGAGGTCACAGCAATTATCGACGGGCAATCTCACTTTAGGACATCGTGCTGTCACGAGACTCGATCGGACGATAAGTCTTATATATTTTTGCATTTTATTGTTCTGAACATTACTGCAACTAGTTATTATTCCAACAACGATATCCCAAGTCGTTACATTTGTGCCTATATTTCAAACAATGTGATTCGTAGACTGACTATTCTACACTGATGCGATTTTTTTTTGCTACAAACGTGTGATATTTTCTCGAATGGTATACTACAGCAAGTATGTATATTTCAAGATAAGTTTTGTCAAAAAGTTCACCGAACGAAGGCATTCTTTTCGTCAATAGCCACAACTCTCTTGCGGATTCTTTTTGATCAGACAATATTGATGACATTTTCTTAAGCAAACACAGGTATCGGTCCCGGTCATATCCAGCTAAGCCATCCTCATCGGAATGCTGAAAAGAGTCTGACAATTTAATACCGTGATTCTTGCACCACTGCAATATAAACCATTTCTCATGAAGGGCCGATCATAAATTTGTACACATTGTAGCAAGAATGTTAACACTATAAACAAGAAAACACATTAAACGAGAAACTGCATTTTAAGATCTTGAAAAATCCAAATAAAGATAGATTTTCGTGTCAACATATCAGCCAAAATATATATACAGAAATCAACCGCCAAACAAGTCAAAATGCATAAAATTTGCACAAACTACTGCAGATTTGTACGCACGTCTGTTCAATCACATACACACACACACACATACAAATTCAGAGTGCAGTCATGTACAGCTACTATTTCATCTGGACGGTATCCAACACGCTTGTATTCGAAAGAATCTTGCATATGCAAAAAACAATCCCACATTCATGATCTCAAACTACAAAACATGCTAGAAATGACGTGTTGCCAGTGCATGTAGATCCAATGTTGCTGCCAGTGAATTATTTCATAATTATTTGAAATTTTCGATAAATTTTTACGTTGACCCTAACTATGTTAATTTAAAAGAATCGACGTTACCGCTATCTTTCATAAGGTTCGAATCAACAAGTGATGGTCTTACGCTAGAGATAATAAATGCAAAAAACACAATATCTTGGCGGACAAATGCATGATTCTACATTACAGTGACAAGGCACTCAATAATCGACTTATTCAATTTTCTCTCACGTCATTGTATTTAAATTGGTTTTCACTCGATTTACTTGCACTTTTACACCTATACCATGTTACTGTGAGGACGTGCAGTGTTTGAGAAATTACATTGTACGAAACATTTACGTTAAAAAGGAAAAAAGTATAACACAACCCTGTGAAATCAGTATCACACGCATAGGGAAATATTACTAATAAACGCAAGAAATACCTGTTTGGTCGGAGGAAGTCGTTGGCAATTCAAGCTTGGGAAGAACGGGGGAACACTGACTCTTGTTTCTTGTCGAGCTATTCCTGCATGTAGTGGAGAAATGGTGAATCCTGAGTCGAATCCCTCTCCTTTTAGCAATTTGATTTAGAAAATCTATGTAATTAGCTAATTTACGGTTTCAAGTGTGATGATGGAGAGAGAATTTTCAGTTACAAAACTCAAGATATGGAAGGTCAACAGCATAGTATTTTTGGATATAATTTCACCCAAATGAAGTAGGAAAGTAGTAATATTCTGTGTCCCAGTATTTTTGGTGATTGTTTTTTATTTTTTTTTTCACATACAAACGTGAAATTTCCCTTAATTTTTCTCTTTAATAGCCATAGCCATCCAGCCCAAAAGATTAAGAGAAACCCAAATTCCCAATTCCAATTTGTCTCTCAACATTCACCGTCTCATTCTTGCCATCGACACCGCCTTCCAATCCATCATTGTCTTCATCTATGAGGATACTTTGAATTTTGAGGCAGTGAGGTTTGCTTGTTTCTAAATACATATAATTTATAAATGAAAGCTGACCCTTTTGTTGGGATTTCTTCATTTTTTAAATTTCTAAAACTTCACCTTCACAGTGCCATGATAGAGAATGATAGGCAATACCACCACCACTTTTCTTAGTTTGCACACAGACATCATCATCCCACACCCTTCCTCGTTCAGACGGTGCCACTTTTCCCAGTTTCCACACGGACATCATCCCACTTTTGGACAAATGATGAAATTGAACTCTGTATTATTAACTTCAACCAAGCTACAGTGTCCGCAAGGATGATCGCACGGTTAACACAATACACACATGGGGGTTAGGATTATTTTATTCATGGGAGACCCACGCCTCGGCTATGAGTAAGCGGTCATCCGCAGGATTACCGACGTGGGCCAAGTGGTTTAATTCTATTCATTTTTGGCAATGACTCATTCGTTTATATTTTATTTGTTAGTTTGAACTTTTAGAATCTTAATTATTGATAATTTGAACTTGTTAAATGTTTGTTGCTTATATATATATATATTTTTTTTATTTAAGCACATATTACTAACTTATAGATATTGTGCAAATTTGAAAACTTAAGTAATAGTACTAGTCTACTAGAACCAGACCAAACCAAACCAGAACTGAATGGTTCGGTTCGATTTGATTCCACTTGTGAAAAAAATCATTCGATTCCATTATCAAAAAAATCATTGATTTATGGTTGAGTTTGGTTCTATTGGAACCAGAACCAAATGGAACCACGTTCTTCTCTCGCTGAAAATCGAAGAAATTAAAAAGAAAAAAAAAAGAGGGGAAAAAAATAAAAAAACACCAACACAAAAAAAGGAAAAGGGAGAAAAACACTTCAAGTATGCCAGGCTCATTTGTTAACTTTTGCTTTGAATTTATTTATTTATTTATTTATTTATTTATTATTATTATTATTATTATTATTATTATTATTATTATTATTATTATTATTATTATTATTATTATTATTATTATTATTTGTTGTGTGATTGGTGTCTTTGTTTAATTCCTTCTCTTTTTCAAAGAAAAGGTTAAGAAGGTAAAAGAAAAGGAATAAGAAAGGGATGAAATGAAAGTAAAAGATACCATAACTAAAGGAAAAACAAATCAACTATGCAAGGCTCATTTGTAACTTTTGCTTCGATTTTTATTTATTTATTTTGTGTGATTGGTGTCTTTGCTTTATTCCTTCTCCTTTTTCCAAAGAAAGGTTAAGAAGGCAAAAAGATAGGAATAAGAAGTGATGATATGAAAGTAAAAGACACAACAACTAAAGAAAAAGATTAATAAATGTCATAAGAGAATAAAGATGCAAGAAATTGAAGTAAAAAGGAGAAAAAAAATTGACGATCTTGTGCCAGAACCTTTTCTCCCATGTCAAGTCTTCGAAGCCCTAGTTCTCTGTCTTTAACAGAAACCCCGTACATCCATACTCTATATTTTGAAAGTCTTGAACGTTTCCTCTTCACGTCGCTGAGTTTTCCTTTTTGACTAATCTGAAATTTTAGGGTCTGTTTGGGAGCGATTTTTCCTCTCAAAAAATTGATTTTTTGACTATTATTTCACTATTCCAACCGTCATATTTGACTTCTTCTTTCACAGGTAGACCCCACTTTTCTCCTAACGAACAAAAAATCAATTTTCAAAATCACTCCCAAACAGGCTCTTATTATTTTCAAGATTTTCTTGGAAGGTTTGCTTGTTTGGTCTGTTTTAGTTCACAATTAGGTACGTATGTGCCACGCGTGCGTCGCCAGAGACATTCTAGATTGCGCGGGCCGGCCCCGCCATGTTAAGGTCCGTGTGTCAGTGGCCTGTCTCAGATACTTGGATCCGATAACCCGTAATCTGACCAAGTCCTGAATCAAATAGCTTTGACCCTTTCAATTCTGATTAAAATATCATGGTCAGAATTATTTATTCAGTGGTCAAATTTAATTAGGTCAACAACGTTGGGATATAATATATTTTCAGTAAATTCTAAAAATTCCTCTGAATTTCCACGTTTTTTCAGGACACTACAATTTTGTATGTACAATAATACACATGAATGTGATTTTGTGAAAAAATTTCGTACATTTAATTAATACTTCATCCTTTTACTAAAAAAGTTTCCTCTTGAAAAAGCAACATTTTCCACCACAATGATACCACGGAAAAAATTCATGAACAAGGAAAATTCATATAATATATATATTCATTTTTGTTAGTGATGTTGGATAATTTAGTGCTTTAAATTACTGAATCTTTCATGTTAAATCATCAAGAAATATAAGAATTAAAGCGGAAGCATACCTGAATCTGACATGATTAATGCAATATGAATTTCGCGGTATGATCTTCCAAATCTACGCGCAGTCTCCATTTTCTCTCTGTGATGGGATGCAGTAAAGAATGAATAATTCATTGCGTTGCGTGTGATCTAGGGACCATAACCTATTTATATGGGGATGCCCTTTGACCTAATTCGGCCCATCATAGAATTAGGACTTGGGCCCGGTCTCTACACATATGTAAACCCATACTTTAATTGGATACATTAAAGCCCAAAACCGAAGCCTTATTAGATCACTTTAATTGGACTCAACCGAATTCGATAGCCTATAATTTAACACACAATTATTCACACATACAAGCCCATCTTTAATTAAAAATTCTTACAATCTCCCACTTGGGCTACATGTATCACCTTATAATTGTGCATTAAACATAACCTTATGAGTACTCAGAATTTTGCTATCATTACCGAATGTATCCCCAAACAATCTCGTCCATCAATCATATCGCTACTTTCACGTAGCTAAACCCATCAATGGTCACGTATATCAATATAACCGAATGACATGGATCAAGCAGGGATGTGTAGCATGGAAATTACATGTAATGTGATCTGTAACATACCTATTTCTAACTGGTCCACCTTAATACTTTAGTGAGATCATTTTAAATAAGTTCAGAGATAATTAACCAAATAACTTTATAACTGAAAATAACTTTAACTTTAAACCGTATCCAAAATAACAGTACATGTGTCCAATATGAAAAGCAAAAATGCAAACTCCCACTGAAACTAGATATTCTCAAGAGACATTACACCCATATGAGTAGTGTGCTCATGAAAGACCTTGGGTATCAATCCCTTAGTAAGCGGATCCGCAACCATGGAGTTTGTCCCAATATGCTCTATTAACACCTGTCCACTCTGAACTCTTTCTTTAACAGCAAGGAACTTGATCTCTATGTGTTTTGACTTTGTCGAGCTCCTGTTGTTATTGGAATACAGCACTGCTAATTTATTGTCACAAAATATTTTAAGTGGTCTTTCTATATTGTCCACAATACGCAGCCCAGTGACAAAACTACGCAGCCATATTCCATGATTTGATGCCTCATAACACACTATAAACTCCACTGCCATAATGGAAGTAGCTATGAGTGTCTGCTTAGCACTCTTCCATGAAATAGCACCTCCAGCAAGCAGGTAAATATAGCTTGAAGTGGATCTCCTACTATCTTGGCATCCCGCGAAATCGGAATCAGAATAACCGATGATCTCCAACTGATCCGATCTCCTGTATGTGAGCATGTAGTCTTTTGTTCTCTGTAAATACCGCATGACCCGTTTGGCAGCTTTCCAATTATCTATTCCCGAGTTACTTAAATATCTCCCTAGCATCCCAACGATGTACGCTATATCCGGACGCGTACAAACCTGAGCATACATCAGACTCCCTATAGCTGAGGAATAAGGAATCTTCTGCATTTCTTTAATTTCCAAGTCATTTTTGGGGCACTGACTTAAGCTGAACTTGTCACCTTTAGCCACAGGGGTGTCACATGGTTTACAATCTTGCATGCCATATCTTTTAAGTACCTTTTCGATGTAGCTCTTTTGTGATAATCCAAGAATACATTGAGAATGATCTCGGTGTATCTGAATTCCTAATACAAAAGAGGCATCACCAAAATCTTTCATCTCAAAATTCTTTGCTAGAAATCTCTTGGTTTCGTGCAATAAGCCTATATCGTTGCTGGCAAGCAATATGTCATCGACATATAAAACCAGAAAAATATACTTGCTCCCACTAAACTTGTGGTAAATACAATCATCAACCAAATTCATCTCAAAACCAAATGAGATGATCACCTGATGAAACTTGTAATACCATTGACGAGACGCCTGTTTGAGTCCATAGATGGATTTCTTTAATTTACAAACCATTTGCTTTGCATCGTCCGATACAAAGTTTTCTGGTTATACTATGTAAATTGTTTCTCAATGTCACCATTGAAAAATGCTGTTTTAACATCCATCTGATGTAGCTCAAGATCGAAATGCGCTACCAATGCCATTATAGTCCTGAAAGAGTCTTTCGAAGAAACCGGAGAGAAAGTCTCTTTATAATCGATGCCTTCTTTCTGTGTAAAACCTTTTGCAATAAGACGAGCCTTATACCTCTCTACATCACCTTTCGAATCCCTCTTGGTCTTAAATATCCATTTGCAACCAATGGGTTTCGCACCTTCAGGCAATGGAACGAGGTCCCATACGTCATTGTCCTTCATGGACTTTATCTCTTCATTCATAGCATCGAGCCACTTTTTAAGAGTTAGAACTTTCCATGGCTTGACGGAAGTTGATCGGATCATCTTCCACCATTCCAATGTCAACTTCATGTTCTTGAAGAAATACGATGTAATCATTCGAAACCGCACTTCTCCTCTCTCTAGTGGATCTTCTTAATGGCATTGGTTCTTAAGGGTGTAGAGTTTGTTCTTCTGGAACAATTTGTTGATCTTGAGAGGGAGGTATGACATTGTCTTGATCTAGAGTTGCTTCTTGAACAATATCAAGGATAGAAACCTGATCATTGTCAATGGCAATTGGAGGAATTTCAACATATTCCTCCTCAAAGACAAAGCCTGTAACCCTTTCTCCCCCCGCAAACTCAACATCCTCAAAGAATCTAGCATTTCCTGTCTCGAAAATTGTCTTAATTGTGGGATCATAAAACTTGTAACCCCTGGACCTTTCAGAATATCCAATGAAATAGCAACTGATGGTCCTTGCGTCCAGTTTCTTTTCATTTGGCTTATAGGGCCTTGCCTCAGCTGGACACCCCCAAATATGTATGTGCTTCAAACTAGGCTTCTTGCTGGTCCAAAGCTCATATGGGGTTTTATCAGTG